TAGCCATCCTCTGCGAGAGATGGGGCGACTGAGTCGCAGTGCGTAGTGACGCATGATCCGTCTAAATTACAAACGGCTTGGAGCCGAGCAGGTGAACCCTGAACTTGACAAGTACATACTTCATCGCAAGTAGCTCCTTGTCATGAATTGGGTAGGTCTTCTCTGCAGCTTTGAGCTGTCGAGATTCGAACGCGATCACCCGATCTCGCGCCTCGGCGTCTGTTTGCAGCAGTGCACAGCTGATGGCAAAGTCCGAAGCGTTACAGACGACGCTAGAAGGACGATCAGGGTCTGGCAGCGCCAGTATTGGTGCATGCAGGAGGCTGTCTATGACCCCGTCAAAAGGCTCCTGATGTTCGGTGTTCCAACACCATTCCGCATCCCTTTTAAGGAGATTGGATAATGGTCGAGCCATTTCTGCGTAATTTACGCTGTACTTGTGCAAGTAGTTGGCGAGACCAAGCCACTTGCGCAAGTCCTTGTGGTTCTTTGGAATCGGCCAGTCTACGATGGCCTTGACCTTAGCAGGATCCACTCGAAGGCTATGCTTTCCAACGAAGCACCCTAAAAAGGGAATCTCTTCTGCGCCAAAGATGCACTTGTCTGTGTTGGCGTACAGTTTGTTCGTGCGCATGCACTCGAGTATCGCTCTTGAATGGATGATGTGGTTCTCCTCATCCGTCCTCCCGTGCCCTGCACGACTGTGAACGAAAATGTTGTCAAAGTATGTCAGTGCATACGCCCTGTGGGGCCTGAACAACTGCATCACAAGGCGATCAAATGCTGCATCAACAGCCACTCCCAGGGCAAGCCGCTTGGAGTGCTCACCGCTGTCAGCGGAATAGCACTCGCTCGCATGAGCAATTGGTAATAACCATCGACCAAGTCCAGTGCAATGTACTTCGTACATCCCACCATGTTGTTCTGAAGAACATCCTTTCTAGGGATCGGCGTCTGTGCCGGAATGGTGGCCGCGTTGAGCTTATTGTAAGAATGAACGATACGCCACTTGTCGTTCGGCTTCCGAATACAAAACGTGGGTGTCGAATGGAGAGATTTGCTCTCACGTACCATCCCTGCGTCGTACTTCGCATGGTAAAAGGCGTCAATGACGTCGCACTGCTCCTTGGGCAGAGGCCATTGGCGTATTACGCAGTATTTGGTTCCCGGCACCAGGTCGATCTCATGGCGCATACCTCGGTCCAGAGGTAAGACCGAAGGCGGGTCTTTGGAGAAGACGTCATGGAATTTTTTTTACCAAAGGATAGTACGGATCCAAGGGATTCCGTAGGATCGACAATCCACTTCGTGCGTTCAGCACTCTCTTGGTGTCCTCCAAGACAGCTTCATCCAGAAGCGATGACGAGTTTATGTCCTCGTCCGGTCGTACAATGACCACTTCAGCCAAATCGCCTGCCTTGAAAC